GGGGTGTTGGCTTCGGTGTCACAAAGAAGCAATACTTTAGCAAGATTAAGAAGCGAACATCGGCTTCTTCATTTGAGGTCCAAGAGTTGAGAAAAGAGCAAGCTGTTATGAAGCAACAGCTAGAAGCCCAAGCAAAGTTAATTGACATGCTATTGAAGGGCCAGATCCCTGGGAGGCTTTTGGGTGACATTAGCCCCAGCGGAAAAGATAGCTGCACAGTCCCTTCAGATAAAATACCCGAGGTAATGCATTTTCTCTTTTAAATTTGCTCAACTAATTTTTTATCTAAACAACTAACATTCTTCATTTATTTAGGGCGAGAATGACTGCAACTGTTTAGCAGACAATCCGTCACACAAAGTAGTTGCAACGGGACGCATGTATAACATTGTCGGGGACACAATCCATAACCTTCCCCTCCCGCCCGATTGCATTAGGGTTTCCTTGCTTGTTGCAATCAACCCCAAGTATCCATTACCTTATCCTACCGATGAGATGCAGACGGTAGGAGATGCGTTGGGGAGCTTCGTTGCATGGCCCAGCCACCTTGTTATGGTTGGTACACCAAAGCTGCCAAATGACCCAAAGCCGCCAAAGGACCCCTTGCCACCAAAGAAAAAGGTATATATGATTTATATAATTATTTAAAGATAATATATATATATATGTCTAACTTTTTCATTGTATAGCCAAGGGAGAAAAGCAAATTGAAGGATAAGGTGTCGGGCCATACTAAAAAGTCAGTCACGGTTTCGCAACATGCAGTGCCTATGCCTGTTGTAGAAAATAAATTTCGTGACTCTCTTGAGACCTATGCTTCGACTACGAGGATGATTCATCAAGAGCCGATAGGGGATATCATTAATTTTGACGATGGGCTATTTGGTAGAGCATCATTTGAAGTCATTCGGGATGAAATTTTGAATGAAATCCTCAAGCATGATATGGCGAGCACTAGTTTGATGACTTTCTACATGAGGTAATTCTTCAACATTTATTAGTTAATTTCTTGAATTATTTATGTGTGTGAGTATGCAAGCATATTAACTTGTATATTTTTTCACCCAAGTCACTTTTATACCTCATTCATGGTTCCTGGTGGCCTCGAGTCAAAGATTAAGTTGGTTAATCCTCATGATGTCTCTCCCCACAATAATATTACAAAGGAAGCCCTTGAAAATCAAGCAAGAATGCTTTTGGATCAATTTCGAGAAAGGGGAGCAGCGAAGGATACTTTATTTCTCGCTCCTTACTGCCAAGGGTGAGTTGTTAATATTTGTTACGTGTAAATATTTTTTTATATTTATTTGTTTGGTAACATGTGCTGTTTCTTGTTAGGGGACACTGGATGCTTATTGTGGTTAATCCCGTTGCTCCAAAAATATGGTATCTCGATCCCTTTAATGGAGAGCCAAGCAACAGGGAAGATATGGTGGTACTTTTTAATGAGTAAGTTAGATTTTTTTACTTGTTATTTCTTTTTAATTTTAGTTTTCATTCACATATATTTCTCACATTCATTCCATAATTCCTTCTTAGAGCCGTGGTGTTGTATCGCACTGTGACTGACATGACTGTGTCCCCTAAGATGAGGGCATTCGAATCTTCAGAGAAATGGGTCACTGTTAAGGTATTCATTTAATTGGTCAAGTTTTTAATCAAGAAATTGTCTCATTATATTTTGCAATTTCATTGATATGTGTTTTTTTATAGTGTCCATTCCAGCCAGATCAGAGCAATGACTATGGTTATTGCTTGATGAAGTTCATGAAGGACATTATTACTCATGCCCCTACCACATTATCTAACAAGGTATATATATAAAATTTAATTACACTTCAATTATAAATTTTAAATAATTTTAATTAGCTACCTATTAACTTGAAATTGTTGTAACTATTTGCTTACAGTACTTCGAGGATGTCTATTGCGTTCGTTATACGACTGCACATGTAGAAGAGGTCCTTGAAGAAGTGGCCCAATGTGTTTTCAATATGTGGGTAGCAACAGTAGTTAGGCCGGTACAATAGTTAGTTACATTTATATACACATTTTTGGGCCAATTTTTATGGGATAGGCCACTTAATTTTGAAACAATAGTTTGCAAATAAGTTTAGATTTTAAGGTTAAATGTATATGAATTTTTATGTTAATTAGATAGGAGATACTATTACAAACATTCATTATATTGCATTATTTTCGTTGCTGGCTGACTGTTTTTTATCTTTATCTGTATCTTTATGCAGGGGGCTGCTTTAAAAGCAGCTACCATATAAAAAAAATTATGTCATTAATACTTGACGGTTATTTCAAAATAACCGTCAAGTATCAATATAGTTGACACTTGTTTTAAAACAAGCGTCAAGTATTTGTAAATACTTGACGGTTATAAGGAAACAAGCGTCAAGTATTTATGGCCAAAAGAACATTGATCCATAAATACTTGACGCTTGTTTTGAAACAAGCGTCAAGTATTTATGCTGGAAAGTGCATATTTACTTTATATACTTGACGGTTGTTTTCAAATAACCGTCAAGTATAAGATTAATACTTGACGGTTTTTAACCGTCAAGTATTATTTCTTTAATATATGTCGCACCCTTACTTGACGGTTAAAAACTGTCAAGTATTGGAAAAAATAAGCGTCAAGTATGGGTATTTTCTGTGGTAGTGTGAAGAGCAATCTAGTATTATAAATAATACTAAATACTTAGCTTTATATACTTTGTTTTTCTAAATTTTAATTTAAAGTTTATTTTTTTAAAGAAGATCAAATTAGACTATTTCTTAAATTTTGATTATATATGGACTATAATTTATCATTTCATTCCTACTCTTTTTAAAAGTTTTGATTTTTAAACAATTAATTTATTTTAGATATTTAAAGTCTATCTTTTTAAAAAAACATAACTAAAGTTTATAATTTTTTTTCTAAAAATATCAAATTAGTCATAAAAATATAGACAACAAAATTTATGCCCATTTTTGTTAGTATATATCTTAACTAATTTTTAAATCAAATCATTCAAATAAGTTTTAATTTGTTCAACTGACTTAAAAAAAAGGATTCAAAAATAAATTATGTTAAAATCACAAATTTTTTTTCTTAATATCAGTTTGCTAACCTCAGTTTATTTCTAACTTTAACTGTGAATTTTTTAATCTAAATACACATATAATATTGGATGAGTTATCATGGTTAGATTTAATGATAGTGACGCTGGGGTTGATAGTTGCATTTAAAAAATGTGTTGTATCTATACTACTAAATGGCATTTGGATTTGATAATGCACTTCTATAATTTTATTATCTAGTGGATGGAGAAATTTTTTAAATTAAAATAAATTCCTTGTATTATAAAGAATTTGAAAAATTAAATCTATTGTTTGTATTGGATAATTTATTAGTATTTTTATATATAATGAATAAAAAGTAGATATTTCATATTGATAAACAACAAATTATTTAACCCTGCATATATTTTATAATTATTATCTTTTAAATGTAACTATAATTTTAACACGTAACCATATCAAGGCCCGCAAATATTGCATCCACATATATGAATATATAATGTTACATGCGTCTTTTTTTAAATTGTTTATAAGCATTCTTTTATTGGAGGTGACACTTCTCTCAGTGGAAATCGGAACCGTGGGTTACCACATGTTTTTAATATGTATATAACATAAATTTTGAGATGAATTTATGCTATTATTGATTTATAAATAATATAATTTATTATATATTTTATATTGGATAAATTAGTTCACTCACAAAAAAAAAATCCTTATACCAAAAAAATATAGACTAAATTTTTGAAAATTTAAAAGCATAGTTTGTTTACATTGATATATAAAAAGTTTATCATTGATATATAAGAGGTTTATATTTAAAAATTGACACATGGCTTATCATTGATATACAATAATATATCATTGATAAATATAATAAATTAGTTATAATGTAAAATATAATAAATGTTATGCTATTTATTTAGTTTGGTCTTATAATATTTTGGTTATATATGCAAAAGCTCCTTTTATATTTTACATGATTTATTTAAAAAAAATCCAAAAAATTGATTACCACCCCCCACAAAGCAAGATTATATTTTTAAATTATACATATAGTTGAAATATTCATTTTAAGGTCAATAACCAAACGGTTTTTTAAAATATACATTGATATAAGAAATCATAATTATTAAGCACAATTCTCAATTTTTTTTAAAAAAATAAACATTCCAGAATATGGAAAATCTTTCAACACACCTGCAAGATCAAATTTCTTTCTTGCTAAAAAGCTTGTTCTTTTATATGACTTGTCGTAAACAACAGAGATTACATTGCAAAAATCATGACATGTAATCTTCTGTAACATTTCACGTGAAGTCATTAATTCAGGCGGGTTGAATTTATGCATATTAGATTCAATTTAATTCAGCTTATTTGAATATGACTGAAAGTATTTTATCATTTTAAAAAAAACTTTAATAATTAAATTTGGTTCTAACTTTTCTTTGTTTGGTTTGGATTAGCCCGTGAACTTAGCTAAAATTACTGACTTTGCATATATATAGAGTCAAAAATTTAAACAATCGAGCTTATTTGAATTGAATTTAATTTGAAACAGACTTTTTTAAATTAGGTTTAAAATATCATACTTTTTTAAAAAAGTTCATATAATCAAACTCGATCCTAACTTTGTTAGGACTGGTTCAGGCTGAGCTTAATTTGAATTATTTACTCTGATTTCACATGTTTTTTTTTTTTTTTTTGTTAATTAAAAGCGCACCCCCACAACGCAAAGGAGGCACCGCTTTCATTTTCTGTTCTTGACTACAAAAGGATAATGAGAATTGGCCATCGCTTCGTCATTGCTTGCGACTTCATCAGAGGACCGTGCAAAGTCATATCCACCTCTTGAATATAGACGCAATTCTGCATCGCGTTATCACTGATTACTCATATTTAGCTCGGTGCGTTCCATGAGACGCAAATTCTACGAAGTCTTATAAAGACTTGGCCTTTTTCCATTTCTTCTTTTCTCCAATTTTTCTTTCCTTCTCATCTCAACCATTAAATTTATTTTTAAATGATTGAATTTTCATGAAATTGTTAGTTTATAAAAGGGCCATTCACCGATCTCCTCTTAAATACAGACACAATTCTGAATTATATTGTTACTATCAAGCTCGTTGAGTTCCTTGAGAAGGAGATCAATGGCAGCCGCGTAAGATTCCCCCATCCTTCCTACTCCCATTACCAGCTTCGCTTAGCATTACTCTTTGAATCATTTTTAATTAATCAATCAAACCACCTCTATTTGGTGATTTAGGGGTTTGCAAGAAGTTCTTCCTCTGCCATTAACTTCCACCTCACCGCCCCCACCTCTTTTCGATGGAACCACTAGGTTTTTTTTTTCTCTCATTCACCTTGTCTTACTATGGTTTTCATTCTGATTTTTTATTTCTCCGGTCCCTCTGATGATCATTTTTCATTGGATTATCTTCTAGATTGTATGTTTCCTATACCTGCCCTTTCGCACAACGTGTATGGATCACTAGGAACTACAAGGTTATTTTAATCGCCCTCCCTTCTTTTATATCCATCTCTTCCCGGATGTTTGATCAATCATATTCGTTAGTCTCTTTCCCGTCAAGTCATCAATCTGTTTAACTTCAGGGACTTCAAGACAAGATCAAATTAGTTGCTATAAATCTTCAAGACAGGCCTGCTTGGTATAAGGATAAAGTCTACCCTGAAAATAAGGTGTGTGTTTTGATAAGCCAAGAAAGATATTGATTTTCATGTTGCAATAATTCGCTATTTGAACTTGACTTGGCTGACTGAGCCATTTGATCTACCTGATTGATCATGATCTTCCTCCTCATTCTGCAGGTTCCGTCGTTGGAACATAATGGCAAGGTTTTGGGAGAAAGTCTTGATTTGATCAAATATGTTGATTCCAACTTTGAAGGGTCATCCTTGTTTCCCAGTGTAAGAACCTAAAGATTCCTGTTATATATATATGTGTGTGTGTGTGTGTAACTAAAGATTCCACATTTGTTCGTGAGGGCCCCTGTCCCCTTTCTAATTAATTTGTGAAATCACAATATGAACATATTTTCAGGATCCTGTTAAGAGTGAGTTTGGTGAGCAGTTGATATCCCATGTTGATACCTTCGTCAAAGAGGGGTTCACTTCAATGAAAGCAGCAGATCCTGTACAACAAATCAGTAAGACTTGTAGAGTGATATTGAAGTGAAAAAAGGACTGCTTAATCCCCCATTCAGATACCCCAAAAAAAAAAAAAAAAGACTGCTTAACATCGGTATTTTCATTCAGGCCCTGCTTTTGATTTCTTGGAGAATGCTCTTGGTAAATTCGATGATGGGCCGTTCTTCCTCGGCCAATTTAGTTTGGTGAGTTGAAATCAGGAGTTGCAGCTGTCTGTTGCTGCCATTTATTTCCCAACTAGGCTTCTCAGAATGATCACAATTTGTAAATCCATCGGGAATATCCTAACTCCTGAGTCCTTAGTAACTCAGGCTAAAATGTGAATTATCTTATGGAAGAGAGTGTTGTGCTAGTGAAATAACCATAACTCGAAGCAAGAACTTTGTTATATAACAATATCCATGATTTTGCCCACTTGGTTTAATAATAATATCCACGATCATGAAATATGTTGACCATTAGGTGGATATTGCCTACGTTCCGTTTGTTGAAAGATTCCAAATCGTCCTTTCTGAGGTTTTCAAGCATGATGTCACTGAAGGAAGGCCTAAATTTGCCGCATGGATGGAGGTACATTGCAACCTATTCTGTGTGAAACTTTGGGTATTTAAACAAATTAAATCGCCCTTTGCTATTTTGAAAAATAGGGAAAACAAGTATAGGTAATCAATTCAGAAGTTCCCACGCACTGGTTCCACTAAGTGCTTCATTTTGTGTTTCTTTGGCAGGAAGTGAACAAGATTGGTGCTTATACCCAGACAAGAAATGATCCTAAGGAAATCGTTGACGTTTTCAAGAAACGTTTTCTGGTAATTAAAAAAGAAAAATTAACACATAAATCCTCACGATTTAATTTGAACCAGTTTGAATGATTTCTGGTTGTGCTCTTTGCCACTTTGTTAAGCCTAACATACATTTCGGCTCTGCAGGTTCAACAATGAAATATCAAATGGCAGGGTGCGTCCAAGATGCAGATTGTGTCCAATAAAGCCAGTTTATGTTATTATTGGATATGCCTTCCTCCTTCATGGTGAAATTATGGATGGCTTTTCTGATAGTTTGATGTCATAATAATGTTTTATATGATCAAGTCTGTGATGATCGTTGTCTTATCTTTCAACTTAAGTAAACTAAATAGTATGAAACTCTGAAGAATTTTACATGTTTTTTTGAGTGAGAATTTTAACATGGTCTTGCGACATCCCGCTCCCTATTTATATAGATTTATGGTTGTCATTGGTCTCAAAACTGTTGGTCAAGTCTTTTTTTCGCAAATCTCGGTCCAATTTTGTCAGATGGCCCATAGGAACTTACAAGTTAACAACTATAGTAGCTATATAATGAAATATGTGAAGAAAGCTAATGAATGAAAAGAAAAAAGGCGATCATATAGCCTACAAAAATACAGTTGATAACTTATAAATGATATGGTTCTTCATAAATTTTTAGAAAAAGAGTCTTTAAATTCGATTATAAATAGAAACCTACTTAAAAATTGAAGTATAAAGACTAAATGATTTATTTTTCTGAATTTTGTGTTATAGAACAAGGTCTAGGAGTTGGTCCAAAAAAAAAAAGGTCGAGATATCTTCGTGGACGTGGAGCATGAATGCATGATGTAGGATTTTATGTCTTGTAAACACTGCAACTTTATTATTCTACCACTTCTCATTTTTTTTTTATATTTTACATTGATGATTGAGATAGTATGATATATATATATATATATATTGATCTGAAAGACATATGGTATATTTACTAGCATACTTTTCATTGTTATTTAACATAAATGATTTTTATTTAATAATTTTAAAATATTTTTATTCATAAAATTCTTTTTCATTTTTTCGGTCTTCATCTAACTAATCAACAGTTTTTGTTCAAGTTCCTTTAATGAAATTACTATTACTAATTACTAATGTATTAATATCGATATAAAATGAATGAGGAAGATTTTGAAGGCTGCATGTTGTTGTGGCGGGAAAATCATGTAGTGTAAATAATATTTAATTACCCGCAGACGTCAAGCGTGCATCTTACAGTCCAAAACGTGACACGTCCGTTTAGCTTGTAACGTCAGACGATGCACACTGGAAGGGAAGCCTAGCTCCCTCCGACCGTCCATCATGAGTCATGGTTCAGCACTTTAACCAACCAAAAGATCGCGGCCCTTGTGTGATGATCGAGAGATTACGTGAGAAATGAATGATGATGGAAAAGCCGCTTAAATGCAGAGATGACCACCATCGGCAGTGTCCGACGATCCCTCCAAGGCATCAACTACGGCGTTTTTGGCTGTGCCATTCAGCAGTGCACGGATCGTGGTCTTGTCCGCCAAGGCAAGCAGCTACATGCCCGCCTTATCCTGTTCTCAGCCACGCCCGACAACTTCCTAGCCTCAAAGCTTATCAATTTCTACGCCAAATCCAACCACATCTCCGAAGCGCGTAAGGTGTTCGATGAAATTCCTCACAGAAATGTTTTCTCTTCGAATGCCATGATCATTGGCTACTCATTTAATGGTCTGTTCCATCATGCGCTGAAGCTTTTTTCATCTTTATCGTTCTCCGCCAGTGCCGCCCCTGATAATGTTTCCATTACTTCTGTTTTGAAGGTGCTGACTTCATCGTCTTCTAATCCCGCTTTGGGAAAGCAGATTCATGGTTTTGTTCTTCGGCGCAGTTTGGATTCCGATGTTTTTGTTCTTAATGCTTTGGTTACGTATTACTCCAAATGTGATCAGCTTGGATTCGCGAGGACTATATTTGACAGAATGCCTCGAAGAGATATTGTGTCGTGGAATGCTATGATTGCTGGGTATTCTCAGAATGGGTTTTATGAAGAATGTAAGCAACTATACTTAGAGATGCTAGGTTCGACGGGGTTTAGTCCTGATGCAATGACAGTTGTTAGTGTGCTGCAGGCCTGTGCTCAGTCAAAGGATCTTATATTCGGAATGGAAGTCCACTGTTTAGTAAATGAGAATCAAATCGAAATGGACGTTTCACTTTGTAATGCTTTGATTGGAATGTATGCAAAATGTGGTAGCTTGGATTACGCTCAGGAATTGTTTGAAGAAATGAGTGAAAAGGATGCAGTTACTTATGGTTCAATCATTTCAGGGTATATGTTTTATGGGTTTGCTGACAAAGCCATGACTTTGTTCCGAGATATGAAAAATCCGGGATTAAGCACCTGGAATGCTGTAATATCTGGTTTGGTTCAAAACAACCAGCATGAACGTGTCTTGGATTTAGTTCAAGAAATGCTGGCTTCTGGTTCTAGACTGAATACTGTCACTCTTTCTAGCATTCTCCCTGCATTTTCCTACTTTTCAAACCTGAGAGGAGGGAAAGAGATTCATGCTTATGCTATCAGGAGAAGTTTCGACCGGGACATATATGTTGCGACTGCCCTAATTGATACTTATGCAAAGTTAGGTTTTATTCATGGGGCACAACGGGTTTTTGATCAATCGGAATGTAGGAGCTTAGTAATTTGGACAGCAATTATATCGGGTTATGCTTCCCATGGAGATGCTAGTTCGGCCCTCAGTCTCTACGGTCAGATGTTAAACAACAGGGTTCATCCTGACCATGTGACAGTAACAGCAGTACTTGCTGCTTGCGCTCATTCTGGACAAGAGGATGAAGCTTGGGAAATCTTCAACACAATGTCCCTGAGATATGGAATTCAGCCCTTGGCGGAGCACTATGCTTGCATGGTGGGCGTTCTTAGTCGAGCTGGTAGGCTCTTGGAAGCGGCAGATTTCATTTCTAAAATGCCAGTTGAACCAAGTGCTAGAGTTTGGGGTGCTTTGCTACATGGGGCTTCAGTTTACGGTGATGTGGAAATGGGAAAGTTTGCTTGTGATAATTTGTTCAAGATTGAGCCCGAGAATACTGGGAATTACATTATCATGGCAAATTTATTTTCACAAGCTGGAAGATGGGAAGAAGCTAATAAAGTTAGGAAAAAGATGGGAGAGATAGGGTTAAAGAAGATTCGTGGTAGTAGCTGGATTGAAACAAGTGGAGGATTATTTAGCTTCGTCGCTAAGGATGTTTCAAATGTAAGATCAGATGAGATTTACGCATTGTTGGAAGGATTGCCAGGATTAATGAGAGAAGGATATGTTGTGCAAGAAGAGTTGGATGATGAAAGTGCTTTTATTTGACAACTGAAATGTAGTCATTAGTTTAGCATTAAAAACTCGTTGCAGGTTCATTTTGTTCAGTTTGGTATGCCTGAAATAGATCACTCAACCATTGAGGTAGCTTCAATTGAAAAACTAGCCAGCTACTGTATCTGAGGACACCACAAGAATGCCTGAGTAATTAACAATGAACTTGGCTTTCAGTCAAGCAAAGTTAAAGCACCGAGCTCCTACACACTACTGCATCACTAAGATTTTCCATCTGAGTTTTTAACGGAGTTCTCAAAATTTTCAATTTATTTCGTTTTTTCAAGTTAGCTTTTATTAGTCTTCAAATTGAAAAATGAATATAGAAAAATGATTTCAATTAAAGTTTTAGGATTTTCAACTTATTATATGCACAATTATATATTATTTTTCTAACTTTGTTTTTGAGATTTCTTGCTAAACGATAAGGTTTTATTTAGTTCAAAAAAAAGAGGGAAGGGAGTAGAGAGAAGGGGGAGGGAGGCATCCTCCCAATTAATTTTTTTTTTTGGGGGGGGGGGGGGAAGATTTTGAAAGGGAGCTTGGAGAAAATTTTTACAATTTCCTCTTTTCTTTCACCATACCACCTTCCCCTTATTTTGTAAGGTAAAAAAATTTAAAATTTTCCCTCCCCTCCTCCTCAACCAAACATAAGTTAAAAAAACATGTTATCATTAAGGTCAGAGAGTTAAAAAGCTATATGACTATGCCTTTATTATATGTATCATTATATATTGTTTTTCCAACTTTGTTGTTGAGATTTCTTGCTAAATGTTAAAAGTTTTACTGCAATTCTTTTTCGTGTGACAGTGGTATTTAAGTGAATTGATTTTTAATTGTTGAATAAAGGGCAAATTGTTTAAGCAATATTCTTTTCATTTAAAAATGTAAGGTATTTTTAATCAAATTTTATCTTTCAATAAAGTAGTTATTTACTTTTAAATTAATATTATTTTTTCATATTTATTCCTATTAAACATTTGACAATAAATATAAAATCATTATTAATATGAATACTTTTTAAAAAAATACAATGATTACACCTCAAAAGATTAAAAATATATTATATTTTTTAACATTTAACTTTTTAAAAAATATTTTATAATTTTGAATGTAGGGAATATTTAAAACCTTCAAGGCTCTAAAATGTTTTTATCTTTTTTATTTGCTCTAAACATGTTATCATTAAAAAAAAAAGAAAAGTAAAAGGCATTTAAGGTCGAGAGTTAAAAAAATCTACGATGACCCCTGTATGACTATGTCCTTAATTTGCTAACCAATCATCGAATGAATTAAAGATTTAATCCTCGTTTTATTATATATGTATGTGTGTGTGTATATATATATATATTGAAAACTTCACACACAGATGTCAACTCCAGAATCTAAATCCTTTTATATTAGCCCACATTTGTATTCATGAAATAATCACGATTGCGCGGGGAAGAGCCCTCGTGAAGAACTGGAGGGAAAGTCGTTTTTTTGTTCAGAGGAAAGTCAGTTCGCAGGGAAAATATTTACTTATTTAGTATTCGATTTTGATCTTAAAAATAACCCCCGTCTCTCTCTTGATGCTTAATCGGATTCGCATTCGTTGAGGTAGCCGAATATGGCGGACTTTGGTTTTAGTCTCCTCCACAATTTCGAACCCATGAGGTATGCAAATAAATGTCGCAATGCGTAACATAATTGCCCTTAGGGGCATATCCACGCGTCCTGGAACCCTAAAATATCGCCAATTGTTGGATCGAAACTAGAAATTTTCTTCGTCTCTGTGATTTTACCGTTCTGGCTTGATGTCGGGAGAGGGCCTAACTCTTAGTATCAGCAACTTTTCCCTTCGAATAAGAACACACGATTGGTTTATTGATTTTTACTATTAATTAGAATTAATCGTATGAATTCTGAGGTCCATTTGGGTGATCATTGAGAAATTGAAAGCGTAGGGGTAGGATTAATGTCGTGCGTTAGACGGCACCTACTGTGGTTCTAAAGTCTGAAATGCGGTAGCACTCTGATATTGGTTCAACCAAAAGCTATGGAAAGTAGAACTGCATCTGTTCTTAAAGTATGTTGTTGTCCTTACTGAGTAAGCGCTCATTGGAGGTTGATTCCAGGTAATTGATCTTGTACAGATTCGCATGCGTACATTGCCCCAGGTCATAATAGTGCTTGTTTGTTCCTGTGTTGTCATTTAAGTTAAAAATTTAACCTGAATTCATTGTTTTGCTCCCTATTCCCTGGCTGTATTTCTTTTTTCTTTCTTCTGGTACTTAAGAAACGCTTGGTAGTGTTTTGGTTCTTTTCTATCATAGTACCAATGTGTACACATCTACTCTGCAGGGACTCCTATGGATTTGCGTTAAGACCTCAACACGCACAAAGTTACAGACAGTATGCTTCTATTTACAAGGTATCCTTTACTTTTGTTTTTGATACTCAGTTCTTCTATATCAGGTTTCATATTTCAAACCCATAAAATAAAGGCAAGTGCACCCACTTAGAAATATTGTTGCAGAAAGTTGCAAGTTTTTTATTTATATTTTTGGACAACATAAGTTCATTTGCTTCCCATTAGTATAATAAAAAAAAAATCATGGAAAGGACATATTTTCCGCTCACTTTTGACTCAGATAATTGAAATAATGATAAGGTTTTTGTTTAACTGGTGATTATGAGATGATGGCTGCAATGACTAGAACAAAATAAATGACACCAACCTACGACATTAACTTCAGCTCGATCCAATTCTTGATGTCACGTCTCCTGTGAAAATCAAATTCTTCTTATATGTAAATTTTACTGAAAAGACGCATATTCTTATGTATGTCATGATATCAGGAGGAGGAAGGTGAAAGGGCAGATAAATGGAGAGGCTACCTTGAACAGATAGTCAAATCATCTCAATCATGTTCTTCTGAGAATGAACTTGAAGAAATATCTCAAGCTAAGGGTAGTGAGATAAAAGAAGGGACAAGTTCAAGGAGCAGAAGTGAAGGAAATGACTTGAATATCAGGAAGTCTTGTGAAGGGACTGAGTTAGAAGATGAGACAGGTGCAGAGAGTGTAAGTGAAGGAAATGATTTGAGTTTCAAGAAATCTTGTGAAGGGACTAAGGTAGAAGAGGAGACAGGGGCAGAGTGGATAAGTGAAGAAAATGATTTGAGTGGCAGGAAATCTTTTAAAGTTATTGAGATAAAGGAAGGAACAAATTTAGAGAGGCAAAGAGAATCAGATGAGTCAAGTGACTGGAGTGCTGCTGAAGGTACTGAGATAAAAGAAGGGACAAGTCTAGCGAGGGTTAGTGAAAGGAATGATTCAATTAACAAGAAGTATGTTTCTGATGGTTCAACAGCAAGTAGTTCTGAAAAGGAGGTGCACTGTCCAGAAGAAAGAAAGGCCCGTAAGGTTCAAACCTGGGGTGAAATTAGGCCTTCTCTTGCTGCTATTGAGAAACTAATGAGTAATCGTGTCAAGAAGGCAAAGAAAATTGAAGTTGAGCAGGCAAATGGTAAATATGATAATCTTCCGTGTATAGATGAATCTGAACATCTACAAATGGTTTCTGAGGACATCATTGAGGAAAAGGTCTTCCCTAAAGAGATGCTAGATAACAGTATCAATGGCTCAAGGGAAGGAGATGCTTTAGAGGATCATGACTCACCTGAATTTTACTCTCAGTTGAAGGAACTGGAGTCCCTAGTTCAGGGAGGAGTGCCAAAGGATCTTAGAGGAGAGGTATAATTGATGTTTTCTAGTTTATCAAGCCACTACTTATTTTTGTGCAGGTAAGTTGTGAAGCATTCACTACAATGTTGTTATTGTAGATATGGCAAGCATTTGTAGGAGTGAAGACACGTAGGGTGGAAAGCTATTATGACGATCTGTTGGCTCAAGAAACTGACAGTGGTAAAGGGAAGGAACTAGATGATTCATCATGTGCATTAGGGAAATGGAGAAAGCAGATTGAGAAGGTCATTAGCTGCATGCCTGTTGGACTTTATTTTGATTTGTAGGGTTTCTTTTGCTTTAGACCACAAGCTGGCTTTCTCCTTAGAATAATTATACGTTTTATCCACAGGACATACCACGAACTTTCCCAGGACATCCTGCTTTGGATGAAAATGGCAGGAATTCCTTGAGGCGTTTACTCCTAGCATACGCTCGGCACAACCCCTCTGTTGGTTACTGTCAGGTAACTGTGGTCCAATATTTCTTTATAAGTTTTGCTGCTACTTCATCATTTTTCATCTTCAATGGACTTCTTATAAAATTTTCCTTCTAAAGAAAACATTTTCTACAGAACGTTTAAATTAATTGAAATACTTGATACCATTGGGCAAATCAAACATAATATATCTAGATGTTCTTTTTGGATATTTTCCTTTACTTCAAAGAAAATTTTTGCCATTTATGATTAATGTAGCCTTTATATACTGATCAACCTCTGCCGAGGTTATTGTATACATCCCTATTTGGGGAGTTATGTTGATGGTATTTGTTGGCATCTTTGTTGGTGGTAATTATCATCGTTGTTGTATCACCATAATCATTGTCATTATATTTTCTTGCTATCAAAACATCTGCAGGCAATGAACTTCTTTGCTGGTTTGTTGCTGCTTCTTATGCCTGAAGAAAATGCATTTTGGTAGGTTTCAGAAACTTGTCTCATGTATTTTCCCCCAGTAAACCCCCCTTTCCAGCATAAAATGGCTCTCTGCTCTGGACTCTAAGGAAATAAAGGATGCTTATGATCGGACATTAACTGTTTCAGGGAGCATACTTGTGTTAAATTTATCTCTTGGTTACTGATTTAAAGGAACATGCAATTTTTAAAAATAATTGTGTGGTTTTCCATGAACATATTGTATTTCTCCATACAGAACACATGGTTTTGTCTTGTATTTATGAACTAATGCATTTTTATGGGATCTTAGGGCATTGGTGGGCATTATTGATGATTATTTTGAAGGTTATTATACAGAGGAAATGGTAGAATCCCAGGTGTGGTTATATTTACTCCTGACATGGTTAATTATGTCCTGAGTCAGGATTATATATTTGTACGTGGTTTTAGCTGTAGCAGGACTCTTAGTTATTCATTTCAGCAGTCACTGTGGTGTTTTGTTGTCAGGTAGACCAGCTTGTCTTTGAGGAATTAATGCGTGAAAGATTTCCCAAGCTGGGTTTGTACATATTAGATTTACTTTGTAGTAATCTTCTTTAGCTATCCTATGAAGAACTTGGGATAGCTTTTTATTTTATTGATGCTTCTTGTGCAGTTAATCATCTGGATTACTTGGGAGTGCAGGTGGCTTGGATAACTGGACCTTGGTTCCTGTCAATCTTTGTAAACATGATTCCTTGGGAAAGTGGTTAGATTTATGCTAAGATTCCCCCCCCCAACCCACTAGCACATATCTTTTGTGTTGCTGCAGTGACCTGGAACTTGTTATTTCTAAAGCTTGTGACCTTATTGTGGGTTTTATCTGTATTTAGTTCTTCGAGTTTGGGATGTGTTACTATTTGAAGGGAACCGTGTAACACTATTTCGAACAGCTCTTGCTCTAATGGAGTTATATGGTATTGAATTGTAATTTCCTGTCCTTGTGTCTGAGCTTTTCATAATAGTGTGCGCATTAAAATAACATCAATGTTGCAAATTCTGTGTCTTGTTCTAGGTCCTGCACTAGTTACAACAAAAGATGCAGGTGATGCAATTACTCTATTGCAATCACTTGCTGGCTCAACATTTGATAGCAGCCAGCTTGTCTTCACTGCTTGTGTAAGTTTTCTAGCTGTGACTGAAGCTAGATTGCAGGAACTGAGAGAAAAGCATCGGCCATCAGTACTAGTTGTTGTGGAGGAAAGGTCTAAAAAAGGGCGAGTTTGGAAGGATTCCAAAGGGCTTGCATCTAAACTTTACAGTTTCAAGCATGACCCAGGATCACTGGTGGAAGAAATGAAAACCACTGAAGGTGGTGATATGGAAAATGTTGGGGACAAATCACCGTTGGAATCCCATTCCTCCAACTTGGATGAACTGCTCAATAGCCTCAATGTTGATTCAGAAGTAGATTCTCTTCCAGATCTCCAGGAACAGGTTGCTTTCTTTATATGCTACCAACGAATTATACATTGAAATTCATCTTCCACTAAGATCTTATCTTAAATTCATCATAGAATTTTAGTCATGACATGAAGATTCGTCTTCTTGTCTTCTTCCAAACAATTCAGGGCATATTTGTTTATGGTAAGAGTGGCTTGTGCTGCATACAATCCGTTGAATAATCATAGATGCCATATTCTGATTTGTGAATAAATTTTCTATAGGTTAACATGCGGAAATAATTGGGTCAAGCATTTTCTTTATAGTTAGATGTTGTATGATGACTCTGTCCCCATCATATTAGTTTATTCACTTCCACCTGAAAGATTGAAGACTGAAAAGGCATCAGAGTTGGATGATTTTGAATCTTCTTCTCTGTAAGCATTAAGGCTTTTCTTGGTTTTCTAGTGTTTGAGATTATTCTTTTCTGTGCAGGTGGTTTGGTTGAAGGTAGAGTTATGCAGAATGCTAGAGGAAAAAAGATCTGCTATAATCAGGTTAATGGCTTTGGCATTTCGATGCTATGTCCTTTATAATCAAAAATCAATTCTCCAGCCCATAAATTATGACATAAAGCTCAGAGGCGGTTTCTTAAGAGATAATTGTTGATATACCTAGTTTAGGAAGGAAGTATTAGACAACCCACTGTAGTTAGCATCATGCTTAACCTGTTTACTTTTTAATCTCCTGTCAGTAGAGCATTACAAGGTATGACTTCAGGAAAGCCCTTCAAGAAAATGCCAATGCCTCTGTCAAGAGCGTTGCCAAGTGCTGCATTATTGTTCTGCCAATGAATTTAATGTTGTTTTCTTCATTTACAATGATGATTGTCAACCTTGAAGATCTAAATGCTTAAACAGAAGTTTATTATCCATCACATTTGGCATTTGATGTCCTGTTTCTTTTTTTTCTTTTTTTCTTTTTAACATTCCCATGCTTCATTCTTTTTCACTTTTCCTTGTTCATGTAAAAGTTCCAACAACATCATGCCTTTTTAAGGTAATGAAATCTCTATTTGTGTGTGCCTGTCCTTTAACAGAGCTGAGGAGCTAGAAACAGCACTTATGGAGATGGTCAAGCAAGATAATCGACGGGAACTGAGTGCCAGGGTAAACCTAACATTTGGATGAATGCTGTGCTTATTGAAGATGTTAAAATGGAAATGTATCATGTTCCCTTGTCCTCAAGTTACCATTCAAATATTTGAATCACTTAAAAATTTGAATGCATTATCTAGACTTCTTACTGGTGATGTTGTTGTGCAATCAGTTATCATGTATGATCCAATGCTATTCACTGAGTTATTGATGCATGTATCTCTGAATCAAATCAATATTGTGTTGTCGTGCTTTACCCATGGTATTTAATGTGAACAGATAAGTAAATAAAAACTTGATGTCATATTTGATTTCTTAATTATCTCATTGGCAGAGAGGACTTTTACTTATTCAAGAAACCATGCATGCAGGCTGAAAAACTAGTTTAATTCAAGTACAATAATCATTCCTTTTCTTTAAAAACTTTGGTAATCAATTGGCTTGTAAGGTTTGCAAATATGTTGATAATCATCCAGGTTGAGCAATTAGAGCAGGAGGTAGCTGAGCTACAGCAAGCCCTTGCTGATAAGAAATTACAAGAAGGTGCCATGCTGCAGGTTTACTGTGCTCCTGTTTTCTTTGGTGTCTTTTCATAAGCTTGATCAATGAAAAGTAATTATTAAAAACAAAAACTTTGTTTTATTGAAAGCTTTTGTTTTTCTTCTTGGTACAGGTCCTAATGCGGGTAGAGCAGGAGCAAAAGGTCACCGAGGATGCTCGCAGAAGAGCTGAGCAAGACCTTGCTGCTCAGAAATATGTAGTTCATATGCTTCAGGTGACCCCCCATGTAATCTTTGAGTGATCCTAGTTATTCAATTGATTTTCAAGTTTACTATGGATCAGAGTTCAGTTCTGAATTGAAAACTTGTTTTGAAAATTGTTGCGTATGGAATCATCTACACAATTTTCTTTACAGGTCAGCTTATGAATTTGTCCCTCACTTGTATATTGTTATGACCACGAACGACAATTATTATTTTTATTCTACTAATAATCTGATCAGGATTCAGGACTGTCTAACAACTGATTTTATTCATTTAATGGCAATTGCTTAGTAAGATCAGGTTCATCTAGCATATATTGTTTGATTCCTGATGCTACTTTTCTGTAGTTTCGCATGTAACTACGTTAAAAATACTCCATTTTATCTTTTTACATGAGGGATTTGGATGCAAGTATCAGTAGTTGAGAAATGAAGAAGTTGAACTATTATAAATCAAATATATTATCTATAACTTTTCTCTTGCTAATGTTATGGAAGGGAAGTATTCCTTAACAATTCGCTGTATTTATTTTCTGGCGTGGATGAACGTGTGGTTGAACTTCATTACATTTCAAATATCGTCACATAAACTCTTCTCCCACTATGTTGGTTTTTATTGTAATAACCACAGCACATGAATCCAATGAACAGCTCTTGAATAATATGGTTAAATCTACTTCCAAGAGAAGTAATCAAATTGATTTAAGGATCTTGTTCTGTAGACACATTTTATTAAACATCTTACAAGACATGACTGTATCCATTCCCAGTATTATACATATGCAGGAAAAGTATGATAAGGCCATGGCATCAATCAAAGAGATGGAAAAGCGGGTTGTGATGGCTGAAAGCATGTTAGAGGCCACTCTTCAATATGAATCTGGCCAGTCAAAAGCACTTTCTCCAAGGTGCTAGTTCTTATCTATCACAAGTGTCAATTGAAAAGCAAGAGCTGATAGATTGTAATACGTGCAACATTGCCTACGTCAGGTTTTTGGTTGACGTCAAATTTCATCATATTTTCTTGAACATTTACCTTCCGTTTCAGAAATACCATTTTTTCAATTTATTGTTTGTAATATCGGTCCTTTTTGGTATCCCGTATTTTGCTCAGCACGTCCATTCCTTTGTACTGGAATTTGATGTAGGCCGCAGAAGGTTCGGCAACATTAATCACGACTTTTAACAGTTTCTAGTACCAAGAGCAAGTTGCATGTTATTAGAAGCCACTTTCTCTCGGATAAATTTCATTAGAGGAAATTTTTGTAGGGGTGATCGGATACCAAGCCCCAGAGTTGAAATACCCGCGCCAAAATTACGCCTACTAAATTTTGGACTAGGTTGGCGTGACAGAAACAAGGTAAAATCCACTTTGCCATTCTGTATCTTCCAGGAAGTGACAAAATGATATTCAGGTATCGCACATGATTACAATTATGAATTGCTGAATCTAATTCAAAGCATTCACATATAATAGATGGTATGCCATTGCCACTCCAAATTGGTTATTCCTTGACATCAAATTTCAGCTCACTGCACCATGAATGATTCCTTGAACCAACGCCTTGATTGTTAGTACCATTTTGTCGATTATTTTGGGACATCAGTCGTTTAAGGTGTTCCCATGTTGCTAAGCAGCTCCATTTGTCGGGCATTACTTCTGTATTTTTTATACGTGTTTGTGAATATTGTTGTAAAATTGTTTCTAAAACATCCAATGGAACAGGGCAAGCCGACTAACGAAGAGGAATGCAGCGAAAGTCAGTCCAACGATGAGGGGCGAAGTCATTGCAACAACGACGACGCTGTCACTCGCAGCAGGGAATTCCGTGACTGAGAACAAGATGGGATACATGGAATTTGCATTGCAGTGCCATCTTGGTTGAGCATATGGGAGTTCACCTTTATTACTGCTCCCTTTGGTAATCGGTGGTTATGGTGGCGAAGCTGAAGCATCCTTTTGTATCATCTTCAAAATCCAAATGGGTATATTAATAATCTATCCCGTTGTCTACTTTTGTCAGTCGTTCAAATATAAGCAGTTTTGGTAGGAGGAAAATCTTGCAATTCTTTATCTGTTATTACGCTATTTTCATGAAAACATGGTACGTGTATACTAATTGTATCATTTTTAATTAAATTAAATATTTATTCTATTGTTATTGTTGTTATTATAAGGTTCATTTTATATGTTTTTATGACGACATAAAAAAAGTACTCGCCTTGTTTTCAAATATAAGAAAAAATAATTAACTTATACAGATTTAAAAAGTTAATTAAGTATAATAATTATGTTTGAAATTAAAAAGCTTAGGCTAAATTATCCCTATAATTAATAAAACAACTTTGTTTAAGTGAAAATAACTTTATAAGAGATAATTTAGCAAAAATGTGATAAAATTTTCTTGAAATTTGTAGCTTTACTTTAAAAAAAAATTAGAAAAACACAATAATCTCTCTTACGTTTAAAAATGAAAAGAATATATCGCTCAGTCAATTAGTCAATTATTTGTAACATGGTACTTAAATCAGCTAATTGTTAACACCATCATCAATCAATATATATAATAAATAATGTAATTCATTTAAGATTCTATATAATGTAGGAATTCTACATCTAATACTGCCATATCAAAGCCATTGCACGGGTACAACATTGAAATCTTTACTACAATTTAATACCAACCGTTCAATATATCTTTAAATGTACCCGAAGTCTTTTTACAAGAATTGTCGACTTTCGGGGAGAACAGAATTTTTAGAGAAATGCTAATATCCGAAGAATAAAATAAAATAAAAAAATCGAGAAGTCGCAATGAAAAAGTGAAACAATCTATAAACAGATCCAAAGAAGAAATCAAAACGTAAAGAATATGTGCGGGCTTAGTTGGTTTAAAAACTGAACTATTCAAAGCTTCATGACTTGCAAATTTACCTAAACTATACAACAGAACCAGGATAAACAAGTAGAAGCAAAGACTCCTTCAGAATGCGATACATGGGGTGAAACTTTTTTTTTTTTTTTTTGGAATACAAAGGCAAGCCTAAGCTTGAATAAACAAAACAAAAACAGAAAATTCACAGGAACAAGAGGGCAAGCGAACGAGTTAAACCAACGGCCAAGGGTGGCCCGGATCTTCCAAAACGAAGTTCAAACAACCATTTAGTATAAGGTGCACCAAAGTTGTCTCAAGGCTCTTGCCATGACCCTCTCGAGCCATATAGTCTGCACATTGGATGATCTCCTCGGAAGTCTAACATTCAATCTATCATAGATATACAAGGGGTAAAACTATACTCCAGACAAGATACATGAATAATGAACATCGGACCCAGCTCTTAAAAGGTAACTTCGAGATATAAAAAACAAGTAAACATACTATATCTTGGCTCCGCAAGGAAATAGGAGCAATTGCGTGCATCCTCATAACAGGAATGGAACAAAATTTCTCAGTCTTCTTCTCAACCTATGCTCTAAACTGAGAGAACGCCACCAAATGACAGCAGGTATTAACGTCTGTAAACCTATGTATGGTGTCATTTTAAATATTGTACAGATGGCCTCATAACCATCGTTTTGGAGCATATCACTGCCCCCTCTTGGTTCTAGAAGGAGTGGCAGGGGAAAGGCGAGAGCTTTGCAGTGACTCTGCATTTAAGTCATATCTTTGTGAAGCAAGGTAAGTCAAAGCTGTGACTACATCAGCTATAACTGGACGCATACTAGCCTGCTCCTGAACACACATTGCAGCAACTGCAAGGGCCTGGTACAACCCTCTAGAAGGATACTGACCTTGGAGCATTGGATCCGCCATTTGTGAAAATTTTTGTCGTTCTGTAAACAAAGGTCTCGCCTGAAATGAAAATGCTCCACACTGAAGTCACTACTTTAATTTTAACTGAAGTCAATGTATTACGAGGTAAATAGTACATGCAACTACAAAATTGTGCATAACTCTGACTACTCTGTTAGCTTCATTCAGGTTAATAGGACTTGTCTTGGCAATAAAAGTATTAGTAACATTTAACAAAAGCATCCAAATACTGCCAAAGCTACGGAAAACTAGCTAAATAAATGAACAGCATCAGCTCAAGAGGGTAATGCGATGAGAATGATTTCTCTAAACCGCTCTCCATGTTCATTTAGATATCATGCTTGGTTAGTTTTGTTTAAGAAATGAGCGAGAACCAGTGAAGAGAAAAAATGATTAATGACCATAAATTCTCAAGCATGAGTACGACTATGCAGGCAAGACTCTCCAAGCATGAAAAATGCATATTGAACTACGGGCCCAACCCTTGTGTCAGCCGTTCAACCAGATATAATAATATTCACTGGTAGGTCAAACTAAGTTTTAACTAATTCCTATGCTCTCCTGTAGCTCAACTCATCAATCAACCCTATATATGAGAACTGGAGGACTTACTTACCCATGCAACAAGATTCTGTTCTCCAGCAGCCTTTGAATTGTCAATAGCTTTCCTTCCAGTAATTATTTCCAGAAGAACTACACCAAAGCTATAGACATCTGATTTCAGAGTCAGTTGTCCTGTCATTGCATACTCCGGAGCACAATATCCATAAGTGCCCATAACCCTCGTTGAGACATGAGTGTTTTCACCTACTGGCCCAAGTTTGGCCAAGCCAAAATCAGATAACTTTGGGTGATAACCTTCACCAAGCAAAATGTTTGAGCATTTTAAATCTCGGTAAATGACAGGAGGGTTAGCTTTGTCATGAAGATATTCCAACCCTTTCGCTGCCCCTGCTGCTATTTTCATTCTTGTATTCCAGTCGAGACATTTCTTGCCAGGAGAAACATCTGTAAATCAAGCATTTGTGTATGATCATAATGTATTGGGTAACACGGCAAGTCTTAAGGGAAAAAATGATTGTAGTTCTGGATATAAATACCATGTAAGTGGTCTTCCAAGGATCCTAATGGCATATATTCATAAACTAAAAGCCTTTGATCTCCATCAGCACAGTAACCAATGAGGCTGACAAGGTTAGGATGGTGTAGTAGACTTAACATCAACACTTCAACTAGGAATTCTCTATTCCCTTGCAGCCCATTTCGGTCAAGTTGCTTAATTGCAACAACCTAAATCCAAAACTAGAAAGGATGAATTACGTTGCCAACTCAAGCTACACCAGATTTTAAGCTTAAACACACTATGACAAAACTCAAAAGCAACTACTTTGACAACCAGCATACAGCAATGCAGAAAAGGTGAAAGTTACTAATAACAAACGAAAGTAGGCTTTACAACTCTATCCTGTACTTGACAAACTAAAAGATCGTTTGGAATAAAAGTTACCTGATTAGTATTTTCCAAGCGCCCTTTGTATACTCTTCCAAAACCTCCCTCACCCAACAAGCATTCTGCTCTAAAATTTCTAGTTGCAGTAGCCAACTCACGAAATGTGAAAGTCTGTGCTGCAATATGGTCAGGGTTCCCAGTTTTAGAGGCATCCTTGGAATTTGTAGAAGAATTCCTCTTCAACTTCCCTGTACACATGATTAACCATTTGAAGGGAAGATGCAGAAGCTAGGAGATGTCTAGTTTTAACTTCTAGGAACATTCCAAATCAATTATCTTGGAATTATGAAATGCCCCTTTTATTGTCTAAGTCCGACATAAAGATCATTAAAATCTCAACCACAAACTGATTCTACCACAAAGGACGCATCACTCCAAAATTACATCAATAAATCAAATTTAAGCCAGACATATATATATTTATAAAAGAGAGCATCACTTGGGCTATTTTGTAAATGGGAAAATTGCCATTACTACAGGGAAATTCACTCACTTTGGGGCTATTGTAAGCTGTAGCTGAGAGCATCACATAATTAAGACATAGATCAAAGGAATGCATCCAATATAAGGAATGAAATGAGAGAAAAATACTTGAAATTTGACACTACTACTCCTGATGAGCATAAAAGATCACTAGAGTTGGATTAAAAATAACATATAAATAAGTAGATTTTGGCTCCAGAAGAAAAAAAGAGTGACGAGGTAGGCAATCATAAACTATCAAATCCCATGTTTCTTCATCTGGGAGCTTAGCATATCATGAACCCCACTCGGGTATAACAAAAACACAAATAAAACTCCCTCAATTTTGATTGTCACAAGAAGTTCCCGAAAAAGCAAGAGATAAATTAGTAGAAGACGTATATAATACCCCATATAACTTCACCAAGAAGACGCAACAAAAATCAAGTGAGGGCATGATTGACGGAGCCAAGAGGGTTTGTCACAATCATAAATCTTTTGAAGATTCTCTTTTTTTCCATGCTACAATAACTGTATCAGTACCTGTGGCCGCTTTTACCGGATCAACCATGTTCTCCTGTACCTGCATCTTCTTCGTCTGCTTCTTGGTCTTCTTCTTAGTGTTTGAATTTCCGGAACAGGGAATCCAACCCATGTTTCACTATTCCCTTCTTTCTTTCCAGAGACGCAGGTAATAGCTGAAAAATCAATTACTCCAGTTCACAGTATCAGACTCATAGATGACCCGACACTGACCACAGGCTGCTCGGGCAACCACAATTGGAAAAGAACCTGCCTGGTTCCTGCCTCTCCCTGCCTCCCCACCCAATTCTCACTCACGCTATTTTATCGTTTGTGTTCGGGAATTGTCTAGTGCTCGTCGTATTACTTTTAACTAAATTTTTTTAGTTCTCCCCCAAAAATCCGTCATTGGCTTCTTTTTGGTCGGAGAAATTGAATGTTTAATATCAACAGAGCAAGGAAAAGTCCCATGTTTATAAATGGGATAATAGAAACTTTTTTAACTCAAGTTTTTTCAATGTTTCGTGCCCATTTGATTTTTACATTTAACAAGAAATTACGTGTGTCATGCACGGGAAACATTTGACTCTCTTAAAATACTATCTCTTGTCACAGTTAATCTGATATAGATATCATAATTTTCCATTTCATTGATGGTTGAAAAGCAGGTTTAGTTGATTATGATTTGATTAATTTTGTTGTTGATATGAGTTATAATGAATAATTTAAATATTATTATGTTGATTAATTTTTGGATAATCATAGTATAAAGTTTTATTTACGTTCTAAAATTGCTCTTATCAAACTCAGAAATGCACTTTGCGGGACAAAAAGAACTCAGGAATGTCAACATCACAAGGAAAATCAATAGAAAAATATATATAAATGAAGAAGAGGAGTCAGGGTTGAAGTTGATGAAGAAGAAAAAAACCAAAAGATAACAAAGAAAAAGAATGAAAACATTGAAAAAGAAAATAAGGAATAAAGAAGAAAAAGAACAATAGAAGGAGAAATTCATGGAGATGGAAATAAGATGAATTAAGAATAAAGAAATTTTTTGAAGAAACTGGAAGGGGAAGTGGTAAACGAAAAGCACATAAAGTCAAGAACCAAAACATAATGTGAATTGAGATCCACGGAAGGTCAACTATATAAATTCAATGTACAATAACTGTTAAAGCTACACTAAAAAATTATATTTTTTCCATATAAAATTAGAAAATGTCTCACATGCGCAGGATTTAACAAGGAGATTCACTCTTTTTTATTTGTTTCTACCTGTCATGTGAGCATGTATCTTCATGAAAGATTTGTGATTTAATAAAATGTGACCGCTATATTATATTCAATGTACAATCTAATTTTAGTAGAGTTATTATACATTGTTATTGTTCTTTTAATAAATTCTGTTAGTCTTTTCTATAATGAGAGCAATGGATAACTTTGTATTTGTTGCAGCTTGAGATGCTTTCTAGAATAAGAGCACATGCGTTAAATTTCAAATTTCAATGGCTTAATATAATATAAGATGAAATAATTAAAGGAGAAAAGAAGAAACGAAAGTCATGTAAAACTCATAAAACAATAAACCAAGTGTCTTTATTTTTCTTTAATTCGAACATCACATAATTTAAGAAGTTGTGATTATTCTTAGAAAAATAAGAGAAAATTTTGACTAATAATTCATAATATTGAAATCATACTAATGCACAATTAATCACTGCATAAAATGTAATAATTTATATGAAACTAATTTGAAAATAAACCATAAAACTTAAAATATAAAGTTTGATTCAAGCACTCTCCAATATGTCTATATATTTTTGTACAACAAAAGCTTGAGCGAAATAAAACATAAATTTAGATTTTACTTATTCAAAGAATTTATATTATGTTGAATTTTATCGAAAATACTATAAGGCTGTTTTTTTTTTTTTTCAGTGTAAAACTCTCTAGATGAAAGAGTTAAAAAAGATGGACAAACTTTTTCTTTCAAGGGATTTCATGGTTGATGAACAAAAAAATATTACAAGAAAAAATAGATCAGGTTTCAAAACAAAACATTTATCATATGCCTGTCATCCATGCGGCATATGTATGATAAGTTATTTTAATAACAAATTTGCATTTTTTTTTTACAATTTATTACTAGTATAAATACCTTTTATTTTTGAACTTATTATCTAGGAAAAATAAAAAGTAATTTGAAAATTATTCAAATAAAAATATATTAATATGATATCTTAAAAATACAATATAAGAATATTCCCTAATTTATGACATGGAAATTTGAAAACGAATTGTGATTTGGAAAAAAAAAAGATAAGCATGACAAAAAAATATTTAAAAAACTATTGAAAAAGGGGAAAGTTACCAAAAAAAAATACTTGACCAAATTTCATTTTACTGAGAAGGACGTTGGAGAAATTCAATATTGAGGTCTTTCACTGGCATTATTTTACTAGACCAAATAATCATATTACCCCTAATCAAATCTCACTCTTCCACAAAAATATCTCCTCCCATGTGAGCTTCTCTAAGTCCTTTGGTAAGTGTTTGCCTCGACGACATCTCCCCAGCAATTGCCAAAGGGAGTGAGTTTATGTGTAACATCCTGAATTTTAACTCTCTAACTAATCAAGTTAGTTAGGATATAATTAAGTTAAAGCTAACTAGAATTGGGTTAGATGATGATTAGATAAGAGTAATGAACCTATTAGTCTTTGGCTATACCTTAAAGATTAGGTCTGAAAAAGAGTTCATGTCATTTAGGCTCAAAAAGGGGGAAAATCATAAAAAGGGGCTCTATGTAACATCCTAGGGAAATTTAACCTTAATAAACAAAGTTTAATTATGATAATTAAGTGATTTGATATGATGTGTGGCCAGAGAGGTTTAAAAAGTATTTGTAATTGTGATTTCAGCCCCATTAATGGGTCTGAAGTAAAGTCGGGCCACTCGGGCATCGAAAGAGGTGAGAAAATCTTAAAAGATTGTCTCTATACTATATGTCGTGATGCATAAATGACAAACAAAGAAGGAGGGCATGGCCAACTTTTTTGAGAAACTGGTCATGACTCAGACAGAAAAATCAAAAGAAAAGGGAGGAGAAAATATGGAGCATTGGGAGAACTCTGCTAGGGTTTTAATTATAAGAATATTAGAGGCATTTTGAAGCTATTAAATCTAAAAGTAGGTTCCTAACTTATTTTTCTCCTTTCCCAACCCTTTTTGTTAAAGTTTTTGGTTAGGGTTTAATAATGGGAGATGACTTTCGATCTATATAGGTTATAGGTTCGAATCTATTTACTCAAATGGAGTTAATAGGAGTTGTTTGAGGTATTTAAATTTAAAGTGAAGGAGTTTACACGTTTTAGTAGTTATGAGTTCATTAATGGTCAGAAATGCCATTTATTAGGGTAGATAAACTTGGTTGGGAAGCCATTAATGACAATGTGAGAGCTTATGAAGCTATTGAGAGCAATAGAGAGTTAATAAACCTAATGGATAGATCTAAATATGAAAAATAAGGGTATCGGTTATTTTATAAGTAGAAAATGAGAGTTGGAAGTGTGTATTTGACAATGTTGATGAATTCGAGCTTGATTGATTGAAGATTAATCATTTGGACACCATTTTGGCTTGGGAAAACAAGCTTGAAAGCCTATACTAAGGGATAAACTTTTAACCTTTTAAATGTTTGAGATAATCGAGGGAACCCTATCATGGGTAATTGTTTGTTAATTGAGTTTGAATGTGAAAGTATGTTTAATTGTATGCGTGATTGAATTTGTAAATGTGCAAGTATGCCATGAGCCCTGTGATATTATATGAATCCTATTCAAATTGAATAGTGATATTAAATTCTAAATGATTTTTGAAACTATAACTATGTGTTAGAATGTGAAGTGTGCAATATGTGATGTGTTGATAATGTGGTTACATTGATATGTGAATATGATGTGCGTGGCTAAATAAGTAAGTCAATTGTGTTGTAAAATTGAGGATTGAAGTGGAAAGAGTTGTGAATATGACGTTAATGCTCACTTGGATAATGTCATAGTGTGAGCTCAACATATTATCATTGAGTAAATAAAATATGAAAAGAGTAAGCATCATACAGTGCATGATCAGTTGGCAGAAGTTTACTTAAGGAAAGGAGTAAATAAAATCCATATGGTATATACTGTTGCCTTCCAATGCATAAAGGCATAGCCTTACCCTATTGTCTGTCAGGGACTGTCCTATAGTTTATCGAAGGACTAGAACCTAACTATTTCTACCTGTTTATTAAGGAGGTTAGCTTAGGGTACATGATTCCCTATATATTTGAGAGTGGAGGAAACCTGTAGTCCGAGAATGAGTGTTGTGATCTTTAGCCAGGTCGCCTCATAGTTGGTGAGCTTCAATAGTCTAGTTACACAAATGGAGCCTTGTTTGATATTATAGCCCACACTTTTAGTAGATGGATGGTTTAATCATGCATATGTATCTATCCGACATGTCACATAGTTATTAAGTTTGTGACAAGTCATGATAGTGAATCTATCATTGTCATATAGTTGTCTGAATTGTGATAACGAGTAAGAAATTAATGAATTAGGTCATTATCACATGTTTGCGTGTCTCATGGCAATGCATTCTGTGATTTGAGATGAGATATATAGAAGTGAAATGAATTATAGAATTATATCTCATGTCACCTGTCATTGAATGTTTTTGAGTAATCAACTCACTCTATTTATTTAGATCAATTGATATATAATTGCATAGGGTAGGTATACCTTATATAATGTTCGCCTTGACATTACCAGGACAACACTCTTACATATTCTTGTGATAACTAGAATTAGATAAAATCCCAAGCAAAAGTTATCATAACCCAAGGATTTTAAAAAGATAATTAGTTTAGAATAATGGGATCTCAAGAAAATCCTTTTTAAAATATTGTTTGAACTCCAATTAAAATTTAATATCAATCAAAAATGATAATAGAAGTATGAAAAATCAACAGTACTTAAAAACAAGCTGAAACAATCTAAAAAATTTTCAAAATCTGGCTCATCCATTATAGCATAGCCCACACCCACCACAACGGATGGCATAAAGGGACGAATCCCTCAGAAGGCATTTACGTCGTGGCATGCACTTACTGTCATGATAACAGATTGCTATGATGATAGCATTCTGAAATTTCAGAGCATGCCATTTTGTCATCCAACGTTTGATTTGAGCGATTCAAGTGTCTACATGAAGCTCTTCGAACCCTTTAACTAATGGCACCAGTCTCATACTCAAATAATCAACCATTAAAAAGATAAACATTCAAACCCAAAATAATTTATTTTCACCTCAAAACACATTCAAAGATGTCTAAAACACACTACCAAA